AAACCCAAAGCCCCGAAACCCTCAAACCCAAAGCCCCGAAACCCTAAACCCTAAACCCTAAACCCTAAAACCCAGAGCCCCGAAACCCTAAAACCCAAAGCCCCTAAACCCTAAAACCCAGAGCCCCGAAACCCTAAAACCCAGAGCCCCGAAACCCTAGACCCTAAACCCTAAACCCTAAACCCTAAACCCTAAACCCCACCCTAAAACCCAGAGCCCCGAAACCCTAGAGGCGACAATGGCTTTGGGCCTCTTTGGTCCTCCGACAATGCCTGCGAACCGCTGAAAGTGGCGGTCGAAGATGAAGGCTTGAAGACAGGGGTCTGAAAAGATTCAACATATGTAACATATATATATATATATATGTGTGTGTGTATGTATGTGTATACATACACATATATATATATATACATACACGTGTCAAAGTGTCAAGTGTATAGATGTACTTTCTTATGCAAGGCTTACTTTCAGGATACAGGGCTTAGGGCAGGGCGTGACAAGCACTAATCAGTCCTCAGGCTTATAACTAGCCATAGGATTATCTGGCGATTCGTTGAGTGTACGGGTACGATGACGGCCTTCACACATGTGGAGCGCAACTGAGCCCCAGCTGTGACAGAGGTAGCCCCAAACCCTAAACCCTGAACCCTAAACTCAACACCCGACTCAACGTCCCATATTCAACCTCGCCTGTGAGCCTAGTTTCTGCCATGCGAGAGGGAAGAAAGCTCAAAACCCTAAGCCTTATAATAAAAAGGCCGATTTACTTGAAAATTCCAAGCGCCCAACCCTAAACCCTAAACCCTTGAGCCCTTACTCCTCCATTCCTCAAGCCCGCAAGTGCCCCAGCCAGCCTCAGCCTCGCAGCCCTCCCAGCCTTAGTTAGGTTACCAACACTATTTTTTTTTTTTGGTGGGGGTCCTTATTATAATTATAGTATATTGGGCCCCCCAACCCTATTCTGATTATTAAGGCTCCTACATTAGGTCTTGGGGTTTCGGCGCTCACACTATTACGTTTAGGGTTTAGGGCTTACTGTTTCAGGGTCCCCTATACGACATTCTGATGCTTCCATCAGGCTTTTCGACAAGGGGTTGCGGTTGTCTGCTCTCTCCGTCGTGCTGCTGCCATCTGTTCATCCAGTTATTATTTGCAATCATTACTTTTGTGTCTGTGGTTCTTCCGGCCATCAGTTGTTCTTGCTCTGCAGGTTTTGCATCTTTACAGTTCTGGCTGTTTGTCGGGTGTCAGCTACCGTAGCAAGCTACACTAGAACCTGCAATGAGGGGGCAACTCGGCAAATGCACTGTCTACGCATTCAGCAAAACACGCATCCCAAACCTGTAGTGATCACACGGTACCCTAGACGCAAAACCCTGGCTCCAAAAGCCTACTTGGAGGATCATGGGACTTAGTAACTAGGGTTATAAATAGGGTAACTATAATTATAACCCCAATTAGGGTACTTATGACCTTACTTACTAAGTCCCATGATCCTCCAAGTAGGCCCCAAACCCTGACTCCAAAAGCCTAAGCTGAACTGAGCCGGCTTGGTGCCGGCTTCCCAGCCCTCAAGATGCTCCAAGTCCTAAGCCCTGAGCTCTCAATCCCATAAGCACACCCCTCCTAAGCCCCTCGAGCCATCCACTCCAAGCCCAACCTCAGAAATCGTGAGGCGAGTCCAAATGCCGAAGCGAAGTTGGGTACCCAGCAGAGAGGGTATCGGGGAGGGAGCAGCGACTGATGTAGAGTTAGGGTTTGAGAGTTTTTAGGCTCTGGATTTAGGGTTTAGGGCTTAGGATTTACAGTCTAGAATGATGGTTTGGCATGTGCACTGCAGCCCCTCCTTAAACAAAAGGATGGTTTAGGGTACAGGGTTTAGGGTTCGGGCTGAGAGACTGCCTCACGGATGGGTCCCTTCGTTTGGAACCGTAGGGCTTGCAGTCTCCCCAGACATTCGCAAACCGCATGACTAACAGGGATCCCAGTCCAGCTTCAGGATGCTGCAGGTATGTTCCAGAGGGCACCTTCTTGGGTATCACCGAAGAACCTGCGACACCCCAAAACAACCTTACAAAACCCCTTGTAAACTTGTTATACTAATAAACTATGCCCTAAACCTGGAACTGCCGTAGATCCCAAAAAAAAGCCGAAACCCAGCTCTTAGGCCCCCTCTTTGCTCCCCCCCACCCTGCTGTTGGGAGTTGGTCCGGTGGCAGCTTTCCTGTAGGCTGGTGTCGTCCCCCCGCCGGGTCTGGCCTCTTCCGCAGAGACGCAGGCTCGCACGGAATGTAGGGTTCTTGTGCTTTACCTGGCGAGAAGGAGTCCTGGCTGTAAAAATGGCTTCAAGGTTTCAGGGTATCGGAACCCCTTCAACCATGCAACTGCCCCTCCAGTGGGCCATTCGTACTATTACTGGTGGTAAGCGTGGGAGACCAGTCGCCTTTGAATCTTGCCAGCTCATGTTGTGACTTTTTTTCGGAATCGCGCACACTCGTTAACGTCTCGCACGCCGGTTCCGGGATCCGACTGCCAAACTCCAGTTCAAGCCTTGCGGTGCTCCGAGCTCCTTCAGAAAGTAACCCCTTCATTTCAAGGGCCCCGAGTCCTTGCGGTTTTAGTCACGGGAGCCTCAGCATTTGATGCTGTTCCCTACCCGACCGTTCCTTGGCACGATATATTCGAACTCCCTACTCCACTCCAGCCTCCATACAAAGGGACTGCAGAAACAGCAGGAGAAGCAACAGTGATGATGGTAGCAGGCGAGAATGGCAGGAAGACAAATGAGCTGTGACAGAAGTACGGGGACCTTCTGGTTGAAAAGGTTTACTTGAGACAGGAGAAGCCTGATGATGCATCAGAGGTCGTGGATAATTCAGTGTTTCGCCCGGAAGGCAGCTGCTTTCAGCCCAATCGGCCCACCTTCCAGTGCGGCGGCGGCGCGCTGGGGAGCGGGAGTCGGATTTCCAGCGAACGCGGTGACTCCCCGTAGCCGACACGAGAACGAAAAGCTCCCAGCTCGACCTTGTTTGCCTTCAGACTGGAAGCTCATCCTCCTTGCATCTCATCCTCGACCCTGTTGGGGTTGGTCTTGGAGTTGCGCTTGAGCTTTGCAAGGCTGCGCGCCTCGCCGCAGCAACTGACGATAAGGCAACAGCGGTGCACACTAGGTTGTTTGGGCTCAACCTCGAAACGCAGGTGCAGGACAATCTTGTTGCCTCTAGCATTGATACCTGCGTATTGGGGCGGACTTGATGCATTTCCCCCATCCTAAATCATCCTTCTTCCTGTGGCTCTACACCCTCAAACCCTGAAGCCCAAACC